GCTTAAAAAAATCTATAGTAAACAAAAACATGCAAGTAGAATTATATTTGGTGTTAACAGAACTGTTAATGGTGAATCTCTTTTAATGGAACTTAATGCCAGGGCCGGCGCGAGTAGGTGTCACGTGGGGGGTGCCGTTACAACTTTTGCCGACTATAAAAAAAAAAAATTCCTCATTTTTGAAAATTTGCCGACTGCCATGACGACATTTGCCGACTGACAGTCTAAATTTACCAATAACTTATCGAAAGAGTCTACATGTGCTAACTAATAATCAAACAGGGTCAAATTTGCCGACTAAAAATTATTGAGGGGGAGGGGGTCACACACCCCTATCTCGCCGGCCTTGCTTAATGCGCTCAATGTTTATAAACTTAACATATACCAAGTTATGCTTCTAATGTTTAAGACAAACATTGATTTATCTCCTAATATATTTCACTCTTACTTCACCGAAATTACTCATAAATACCCCACAGAGTCTTCAACTAATAATTTTGTTGTTTCTAGATCTTATTTAAAACTCAGCTCGTTTCAAATTCAATACCATGAGCCTTTTATATGGAAAGGTTTTTTGAATAATATTATTAAAAAAAAACGTTTCTAAATTTCTCACTAAAACAATTCAAAAGAGAATTTAAACGATTTCTATTAGAAAATTACTTCGATCTTAAAAAAAGTCATCATTATTTGAAAACTCACTTATTTTAGTTTCGATTTGTTTCTTATTTTCTTCTTATAAAAAATAAAAATAAATAACTAAAGAAAATATATATACATTATTATTATTATTATTTTTTTTTTTTTTTTTTTTTTTTTTCTGTTTACATTTGCCGTAAAATAAATACTATATTTTACAAGAACAAAGAAAACAAGGCTTCTGAAAGAAGATCTACTGATCTTATCATCAGAACCTTTACAATTTTATCATACCATAAAACTGAAAATATAAATCCAAAAACGGTAATAATAAATATATAATAATAAATTCATAATATTAATCACGTATCTGTAATAATAATTCTCACAAATTTGTTATAATAATCCAAAATAATAAATTTTATAGATCTGATATAAATTAACGAAAATAAATTATTATTATACGATTTACTAATTGTAATATATTGTGTTTTACTATATAATCATCAACCTGTAAATTTTTACCTTTTAATTTTAACTTGAAACATAAACTGAAGGCGGCAATGCAAACGGGACGATATAAAAATAAAACGGGGGTCGGCGATATAAAAATATACGTCTTCCTCTTGCTCCGGCTTTTATTTTACGTGTACGATCTTTTTTTATTGTAAATTTTATTAAACGGCAAAGAAAATTAAAAAAAAAAAAAATAAAGGTAAGTTTTTACATTTCATTTCTGCAAAAAATTTGTTTTGCTTTAAAATTTCATTTTTACAATGCTCGCAGTAAAAATAAGTTTTATTGCCAAAAATTGCCTACATTATTTTCCATACAGAGCCAGTCCGTAGGAGGGTGCAAAGGTTGCACCCTCCTACCGGGGCCCCACAATTTTTGAAATTTCAGGGGCCTCATTTTTTTGGGGAGAATAAATAATAAAAATTAAATCTTTGGTCTCGTACTGTTATGACACCTTTTAGCCACACAATAAAAACACGGCCACAACAACATATTTGTTCCGGTAGATAGAAAAATGCTCTAGCGAAAAAATGACGTTATAGAAAAAATCTACTCTAATAAGAAAATAATTACATATTTATTATACAATTTCACTTTTAACACAATAATTACATATTAATTATATAATTTCATTATTAACATGCATCCGACACATGAACGGTGAGAAATCTTTTTATCTCGTTTGTGTTCTGTAAACTTTTCTAGATAATAAAAATAGATAGATATAAAAATCGCTTCTAAGATAATCGTATATAAGTCGAATATATTTGTTAAACAAACAACATTACATTAAATTATTGTTTTTCTTTCCCATGCAGAATCTTTTTCATACATATGATCTGCCCCTTAAAACAAAGTTATATATTCGTTTTGCAAATTTGTCCGAGTTTTATTATTATGTTATTATAAATATTCATTTAAATGCAGCTTTTAGAATTAATGTAATAAAATAAATAGCTTGAAGTGATTTTAAGAATTTCGAAAGTAAAAATTGTTTCGATACCATTTTTATGATTTCGATAATATCAAAATATTTTGATGCAAATAATAGAGATTCGAAAATGAAATAATGCTTTGGTGTCATTTTTAAAATTTCGATCGCATAAAATTTTTTTGACACAAATTCGAACGTGGTAAAACGTTTCGGTGCCATTTATAGAATTTCGGTAAGGGGCCGTCCATAAAGTACGTACGCTTTTTTATTGTCGATCCCCTCCCCCCGCATTTTGCAATACGCTTTTTTGAGTACCCTCCGCCTCCCTAAAAATACCTACGCTTTTAACCTATTTAACTAACATTTTAGGTAGATGATAGAATCAAAAACCTATTTCGACGTTTAAAGTTTTGTGTAAATTGATGACCCGAAAATAAATTGATGTTTTAAATAATTGAGTAGCGTAAAAAATTAAGTATATATTTATAATTAACTTGCACCTGATTAAATAATTAGTAGTCTTGAGGTACAAAATTTTGTCTTGTTGTCTGGCGACGCGGGATCGATTCCTCTTTAGCGCAAATGTTTTTGTGTGTACTTTTATGTTATATTTTAAAGTTTTTAGCTCTAGTTTTATGCGTTATGTCTATGATTGTTGTCAATGCGTTATGTCCATGATTTTTGTCATTAAAAAGTTAAATTGTTTATACAATTTTATTTATTATAGAAATTGGGAAGTGTACACACATAGTCTGACTTAAACATGTAAAACAAGAAGGTAGTGTACATACATCGACTGACTAAATATGCAGAACATGCAGGATGTGTACATACATCTACTAAGGGTTTCGGTTTAAACAGGCAATAAGTTAAAAAAAATTTTGTTTTAAAAAGTGTTTAAAAAAAATCAAGGCAAACACTTATTTTGGTATATTCCGGTCATCAATTTACACAAAACTTTAAACGTCGGAATAGGTTTTTGATTCTATCATCTACCAACATTTTATGATCCAAAAACAAAAATAGCCCCGGGCCCCGAAAAGTCTTAATTCGCCACTGAATTAAAGTACAATATTTTAATCAGATAAATTATTAGTACTTATATATATATACATATATACATATATATATATATATATATATATATATATATATATATATATATATATATATATATATATATATATATATATATATATATATATATATATATATATATATATATATATATATATAATAATAATAATAATAATAATAATTAGTAGGATTTATTATATAATAATAATAATAATAATAAATCCTATCAAAAATATTACTTAGGAATATGTAAAAGAGTGAGGAAACTTTCTTGAAACAATGTTTTAAACCATCTTAGGTTAAGATTAAGCAAAGACCTTAATCAAATTTAAAAGTTTTAATTAAATTCGATTCTTCAGATAATAAGACTAGAAAATTATAGAAGATCTAAATATATCAGATTTATATATATACTTCTTAGATCTGACAACACCGAGCAGCTAGGGGGCATTGGTCCCACCACTTTTATTGTAAAAAACCTTTTTTTTAATTTTTAATAAAATTTCTAGATATAGAGGACTTATTTTAGGCAATCAATAATATTGGAATGGTTTTTTTTAGGTTACTGATATTCCAGTCTTATCATATAATCTAGATGGAATAATCTTTTAAAAGTTTTTTGTTGGTTAGCATTTGCACAATAAAGGAAAAACAGTAAAGCAAAGCCCAAAAAACAGTATTGACTTGAATAACCTACAACAAGAAAATATCTTTACAGGAAATATCAATGCCTGATGGCTACTATGATAATATATATATATATATATATATATATATATATATATATATATATATATATATATATATATATATATATATATATACAATACTTTTACCTTTAAAATTAATTTTATTATTAAGCATTTATGAATATTTTTATATTTTCAATTATCTTTATTATTTATATATGAAGAAAAGCAAAAGTTTGTTAAATGTTGAAAAAATTCACTTTAGTTAAATACAAAGAGAATAATTTCTTAGCCTTGACCGGAAAATATTTGGAAGGCCTCAAATTGAAGGAGGTTAAAAATTTACATTGCCATAATTTTTGAAAATTAAAAGATCATTGTTTAAAATTTAAATTTTATCAATAAATATTAATTTAGTTAAGAATAGTAAAGAAAAAAATATTTAAAAGAAAAAAATCAAATGAAAAAAACATGTGAACAATATAAACTTTTTATGAACAAATAAACTTTTTAAAACTACAAAATTTAACATCCTTAATAAAACATGAATAAACTTTATACATAAACTTTAGATTCAACACTATTGTATATACATTTATGCAAAAAATGATTACTTATAATATGAAATTAATCTAGCATACAATAATATATATATATATATATATATATATATATATATATATATATATATATATATATATATATATATATATATATATATATATATATATATATATATATACTTACAAACACAACACTCGAAGTTAGAAAAAAAAAAATTAATGGGACGAGTTTAAAAAATTTTTAAATACCATCCCATCTCACCATTGCTATATTATTAAGTATATAAAAAATAGGCAAGATAGTATCTCACCTCAGTTTGAGCACTATGTATACACACATGAACACATCCATCTGTGTGTTTGTGTATGGTGACATTTTATTTAATAAAATTAAAAAAAAACCAATAACAACCAAGTGTTTTTAGTTTAATAATGATTTCTTCTATGAGCCATATTATTACTATTTTTAAATGAATAATTGGTTTTACAAAATATATATATTTCAAAATGTTATTGAAACATAATTGTTTATCATTTAACAATAAAAACTTATTACTAATTTGTGCAAATAAAATAATCAAATAAAATATTTAAAACCTATTTCCAATACATAAGTAAGATGTAACAATATAAGCATCAGCTATCCCAACTATAATACCTACAATAACATCTGAAATATGGTGTCTACCGAGCACAACTCGAGAGAGACTAACCATAAAAGCCCATAATAAAATATAAACAACATAAAAAGCTTTTGGGTCATATAAATAATAAATAGTAAACAACATAAAAGAACGAGTAGCATGACCAGATGGAAACGAATAACAATCTATTTTGGTGGCAGAAAGCGTTATGTCATTTTCATTATAACTTGGCCGAGGTCTTTTAAATGTCAGTTTCAAAAATGATATTGTAAGTAAATCAAACAACAATCCAATAAAAACATTTATATAAAACTCTCTGATATATTCTTGATTGTAATAAATTAAAATAAAAATATAAATTATCCAAGGAACTCCATGTGCAGTCCATTCAAGAAACTTTAAAAATAATCTAACATTTTTAAAGAGTTCATTACCAAAATAGCCATTGTATATACTTATTTTTCTTGATATTGTGTAATCTAAAGATAAAGCTCTTTCAAGCTGCTTTTTATAAACTGCTTTCATTTTAAGACGATAAAATCAAGTTATTACAACTTAATTCAACATTTTGATAATTTGCGATTGTCACTTATTTAGTTTATGATCATTAAGCAGTTTGTTATACTTATCAACCGTTATTTAGGTCGGTTTCAATTCCGACCACAATGTTACCCGGAGCAAAAGTTTTAACAGCGGTTCAAACTCGCAGTTAGAACTTTTGCTCACTCATAAACTCGAAAAAAAAAAGAAGTCTATATGCTTATATAGCACAGTGCCTTAATATGGCCCTGATTGTTACTATCAAATACATTTTCATATTTTTCTTAACTGACTTTTCTAACTAACTTTTTCTTAACTTAACTCCCGCGGTGCTCTATGATAAGACCGTAAAAACTTCTGAGAGCACCTAAATACATACAAATATATATATATATATATATATATATATATATATATATATATATATATATATATATATATATATATATATATATATATATATATATCATAATTAAGACCGGTGTAGTATAAAATTTATACTCCAGCTGTATAAGTCTTGTATTAAATTTGTACTTCCCAATAAAAATCTCATCAAATTTTAAGTGTCATTGTGATTTTTAATTTCCATAAAGTTGTATTTAAAGGAAAAATGTATTTTGCTCATAATGTACTTTTAAAATAATATAAAAAGTTTTAAAGATTTTAAAAAATCCATTCAATAGGAACATTATTTAAATATTAAAATTTTTTTAAATAATGTTCCTATTGAATGGATTTTTTTAACAATTTTAGATCTTTCTAGAAAGATCTAATATTGTTAAAAAATGAAATGGACGTTTCAAACTAACTCTATCAACGAGGCAACTCCATTGAATAAAAGGAGATGAAAACTAGTTCTTCATGTCAAACTTTTTTTTTATAAAACTGGCATTTTACCTCTAATTGGCTTGAAGATGAATTCAAACCAATTAGAGGCAAATATGTTATAATGCAGTTAAGATGCATATTTGTGAAGCTTAGATGAAAAAAAAATACATTTAATAAAAATACATGCCGTATAATCCAGCATTTTAGTTTCACGAATATGCGCTTAACTCACATAAATATTTAGCCATTCTATTGTGCATTTGTAACACATATGGTTAACAACTTTATCTCTAAGGATGGAACGCAAGAATTTAACTAGCGTAAAGTTCGACTTGAACTTTGAAGTCTGACTTCAAAAGAAATAAGCTTAAGTAAATGCGTAAACGATACATGAAAATTTTAATATTGCACTTAAAATATTCAAACTTAAAAGACGTTGATTTGAAGGTGGAATCGGAAAAAAAAACTTTGCATCTAGTAGCGACAGGGTACTTGTGAAGGGAAAACCTTTAAATTAAAGCAAAATAACTATATATTTTTAAATAATATATCTGAGTTTTATACTTTGAAATATTAATTTACAGAAATAAATTAAAAGGTGTGACAAAATAACAAAAACCTTTCTTAGACGCTTTGCAACCATTTTTCTTACTATAATTTTACATTTCATCGTATACCAAAAGATTGTTTAAGGGGGAACGTTGTGAAGTAAAGCAAGATACAAAAATGTCTATAAAATTTGTGAAGGGATATTGCAAACAAATCTTTTTTTTTAATGTCAAAACAACATTCCACTGTTGCACTTGTGCTAATAATATGGGACGCTGTCCCCTAAACATGGACGTGCTGATGAGCTTCTAAAACCTGTTTAATTGCTGAGTTGGTAAAAACTTGTGATCCTTGATCACAATACAAGCAGACAGATTTTTTTTTTTTGAAGGATCTTTAATTGTCTTTCACTGCATGCTGTAAAAACTCTCTCCCATCTTCATGTTTTCTGACTCAAATATATTAGAAATTTTATGGGTGGGAGGTGAGGCGTATTTTAATGATAAACCCCTTAAAAAGCCGCCAAGGTGTTGTTGCCAGGAAGGCGATTTTAAAGCAGGAGGTAGCTTCTCCTTTTTTTGCATGTGGTCTGAAAGAACGCTGCAACCTTCCCCAAGAGGGTTTGGGGTCCCGAAAGCCTAAAAAGTGAGCGTTAAGATACAACTGTGTCTATAGAAAACATTTTTTGTGAAAACATTTTTTGTTTGGTTTGTATAAAATTTGTCAAAAATATCCCAGTGGGCACACGACGTTATTTCGACGTTGATTTACAGTTGATTTTTAGTCGCGACGTCGTATAACCAAAAATCAACGTTGTATCAACGTTGAAAAATTTGTTTAAAACTATCAAATAAAATCGACGTTGATTCCACGTTATTTCAACGTCTATATTACGAGTTCGACCGTTCGTAATTGCAATATGAGAACTAAAATACGCATGCGTGACTTAAAATTTTTTTTATTAGCTTAACAAATAATGAGTAAAGTTATTTATTAGCCAAATAAAAACAAGAAAAGTCACCCATGCTAATAAATTAGGCCATCTGTTGCCTTTTTATAAGGTTTTGAATTTGACGATTTAACAATAATACATGGCTCAACTTGTGATGCATTTAGTAAGGTAAATATTAAATGGATATTTCTTTACGACCGTATTATTTCATGAATGTGGATTACAAGTAGAGATTACTTGATATATTATATAAATATAAAATATATATTATATATGTTTTTTTTATATATATATATATATATATATATATATATATATATATATATATATATATATATATATATATATATATATATATATATATATATATATATATATATATATATATATATATATATATATATATATATATATATATAAATATAAATAGGGAAGAGTTACCTTAATTGGAACAGTAAAGTAATAATTATTTATTAACCTAAGATGGCTTTTTACTAACTAATGAAAAGTTTTATTGTGTTGAATTTGTGTATGAAAATAAATGATGTTTTACAAAATAATGATTTATCAAGCTTTTTTACCAATCCATGTGATTTAAAGAGTTTGAATATTTTTTATATTAAAAAAATTTTATCAAATTTTTAAAGATTTTTCTTGTAAAGTTGTTTAAAAAAGGATTTGTGCTTGCTCCTTTAGTAGGTTGGTAGAAGAATCAACATTAAAATTTAGCAATTTTTAACAATTGTATAATGTATCATAACGTACAGTTTAAAGTTGTATTTTTCTGTTAGCTATTTTACATGAACAAATTTTTAATATATGAGTATTTTTTCTATTATATTTTCTACTATACTTTTCCAGTTGAAAAAGTATAGTTGGGCAAGCAAAATGTTCATTCGAGCTGTTTGGATAAAAAATACAGAGAAATAAAGTGAGAAAATTCAATCGATAATTTTTATGTGCTGGCTATCATCATTAAATGTAATAAATTGTTTCAATGAAATGCATAAACCGCATCTAACTAATTCAGATTTACGCTGCTCAAAATTAAATGTCATGGAGTTAATGTAATTTTTTTTTTATATAAACATTAAGTCATTACTTTTTTTCCTTGTTTTTTTAACATGCTTTCATTCTGTATATGTTGTTTTCAGTGTTTAGATATATTCTTTATTATATATTCTTTATTATATAATGTATTTAAAATCATGAGTTATGTAATAAATTTAAATTTGCCACTACTAGTGATACTCAGATAGAATCAGATTCAGAAAACGGTAACTATTTTAAAAGATACTTAATTCAAGTATTATTAGTTTTATTTTGATATTAATTTTTATAGAAGCTACTACCATGCTTATGCAAGAGAAAACATAATAACCAACAGAATAGTAAGCAAGTACCTACTCCTGTAACGCAAAAAAAGAAACAGAAAACAATTTTTATGCATACTCCACATACTGTAGCTCAAGGTATTAATTGTCTGTCTGTAAATTGATTTAGGAAGAAAAGATTCTGAACATTTTTTTCTATGCTTCAGTGATTTACACATTTTATTGGTTGCTAAATTAATACATTTTATTTAGTTTATGAATAATGTTTTATTTTATAAATGTTTTGTTCTTGTGTTTCAACCCTTTTAGAAATTAATTAATGTTTGGTTCTTTTGTCTTTCTGATATATTTTTATTGTTAGAAAGAGATGTTAGTAAAAACTCTTTCCAGTAATTAAAGTAATATCATGACAAATAGTTCTGAAAATTCTATGGATGAACTTGCAGCAGTAATTTAATGATTATGATAACAGTTTAAATGATTCTTGGGTGAGGTCAAAAGTGATGGGTTGTTTTAAACCATGACTTTTTGCAGTTTTTTAAATTGGTTTTTAAAAAAGTATTTATTAATAACTTATTTTAAGTTAATCTACTTTTTATAAATGTACCATAAAAATAATGTTGTGTAATTATTTTCTTAAACCTTTAGGTTAACTAACTTTCTAAAATTGGAGATAAAACCATTAAGACAAATACAAAAAATGTGATGCAAAGGTTTGTTAAAAGTAGTTTTAAATAAAAATTCTTTTGAATCTTTTTATTATAGTTTGTTTTAAACTTGTGTCAAAAATATATTTAGCATATATTTTTAAAAGTTTGACAAATTCTAATCAGACATAAAATAAATCTTTTTTTTTGTCTGATTTTGTCTTGATTTTTTTTTAAACTGTTTTCTCTTACTTTTGTATTTCCTTGAGCTAAAAAACAACCTTAAAGTACAAAGGTTGATTTGTAATGCATACCTGACCTTTTTTTTTACTCGATATATATACATACATATATATGTACATAAATAAACATACATATATATGTATATATATATACATACATATGCTTAAATGAATATATTATATATATATATATATATATATATATATATATATATATATATATATATATATATATAAAAAATAATGGTACAATTTAAAGTTTTTTCTTTTATTTGTAAAGTTGTACTAGATAAAAATTAACAAATAAAATTGAACATTTTGAATATTTATTGATTATTATGATAAATTATATAAAATATATACAAAGTATAAATATTTTGCAAAAACACTTTTATTTGCTATATCTGCTTCAACACATTGTGGCATGCTTGCAATTTATTTTTTATAGTTTCTGTCAACTTTGGGTTATTATGCCAGATCTTGATAATCTCTTCCATAAAATCTTGCTTATTAGTAAGATTTTTT